AAGAGAATCCTGGGAGGTTCACGGCTGCCTAGACTGGTTTACACAGCCATGAGCATATCTTGGGTCAGACACCCCAGTTTCTGACTGCCACAGCATGGTATGGCATGTGTGTACCCTTGTTTGTATGCATACGTGACCCTGCGCGCACCCACCCACCCACACACAAAAGAATAAATCACCCCAGAGGAGAAAGGTTTGTCCTGCCCGTTTTTCCTATTCACACAGCACAGGTTTTCAGATGGCATGAGACAGATGCTGTTCTACTCTGGGGTTGGGTATGGCTTTCCCACTGGTGAACAGCTGGGACTTAGTCTAGTATCTTATCCTTACTTCTCTCAATAAGGCAGTTTACTGTTATTCGAATTTCCTAAATGTCACTAATGGGTGTAACTTAGAATAAGATTAAAATGAACCAATTATTCAAGGATTATAATTTTAAATATAGTCTATAACTTTAAAAATATACTTTATAATAAAGAACCTCAGACAAAATATTTTTCAAACATCAGCAGCTAAATTTTAGTTTCCTTAAAAAAAAAAAAGGTAAAAAGTTTGGAAAGATGACTCAGGGGTTAAGGGGACTGACTGGTTGCTCTTTCAGAGGAACCAGGTTCAATTCCCAGTACCTGCAGGGCAGTTCACAACTGTCTATAACTCTTGTTCCAGCAAATCTGCCATTCTCACACAGACACGTACAGGCAAAACACCAGTGCATATTTAAAAAAAAAAAAAAAGACAAGGCATCCCACTTGGGCCTTGTCCTCAACTGCTGGATTAGTTGGGCACTATCCTGTCCAGTAAGATGCAGCTCCAGGGCTCATGCATGCTAGGCAAACACCCTTCGAACTGAGTCACACCTCTAGCCCTGCAAGCTGGGTGTTCAAATCAGAATGGATAAAATTTTTATCAAGGATAAGACATGAGCCTATGATACAAAATATAAGTTCTAAGTGAATGATCCCACTGCCCATCACTATAGTTATTAAAGTTTGTCTTTTATAATTCTAGGGCATACCTTCTATTTGCTTTACCTAATAAAACTGTAGGGCTTATAAATCTTGCAGGTAAGCAAGGTCAAGGGGAATCTTAACAAGTGTCAGTAGGGAACAACAGATCCTTCAAATGCTGGAGGCAGTATCTGAACCCTTAGCACTCTGTAAATTCAAAGCAGGGCCAGCAAATTGGCTCAGTGGATAAAGCACTTACTGCCAAGGCTGGCGATCTGATCTTAATTCCCAGAACCCACAGGGTGGAAGAAAAAAACCCACTACAAAAAGTCCTCAGCCAGAAAACCTGGAAACAACCTAAATGCCCCTCGACCAAAGAATGGATAAAGAAAATGGGGTACATTTACACACTGGAGTACTACACAGCAGAAAAAAAATAACTACATCTTGAATTTTGCAGGAAAATGGATGGAGCTAGAAAACATTATTTTGAGTGAGGTAACCCAGACCCAGAAAGACAATTATCACATGTACTCACTCACAGGTGGTTTTTATTTTTTTAAATATTTATTTATTTATTATTATGTATACAATATTCTGTCTGTGTGTATGCCTGCAGGCCAGAAGAGAGCACCAGACCCCATTACAGATGGTTGTGAGCCACCATGTGGTTGCTGGGAATTGAACTCAGGACCTTTGGAAGAGCAAGCAATGCTCTTAACCTCTGAGCCATCTCTCCAGCCCACAGGTGGTTTTTAGACATAAAGCAAAGAAAACCAGCCTACAAACCATAATCCCAGAGAATTTAGACAACAATGAGGACACTAAGAGAGACTTACATAGATCTAATCTACATGGGAAGTAGAAAGTAGAAAAAGACAAGAACTCCTGAGTAAATTGGGAGCATGGGGGCCTTGCGGGGAGGATTGAAGGGAGGAGAGGAGGGTCAGGGAGGGGAGCAGAGAAAAATGTAGAGCTCAATAAATGTCAATAAAAAAAAAAAGTCAGCCAGGCTTTTTAAACCCCTGAGCTATCTCTCCAAAAGCAGTCCTCTGAACGCCACACACAACGTAGCATGTGCTCAATCTCACACACACAAATACACGTTTTTACCTGGCGGATGGTGGCGCACGCCTTTAATCCCAGCACTCAAGAGGTGGAGGCAGAGGCAGGTGGATCTCTGTGAGTTTGAGGCCATCCTGGTTTATAGAATGAGTTCCAGGACAGCCAGGGCTACACAGAGAAACCCTCTCTTGAAAAACCAAAAAGAATAAGAATAAGCCACCTGAAGAGGGTGCTTGGGAAGTGAACTCTGGTCCTCTGCAAGAGCAGCAATATAACCTCTGATTCATCTTTCCAGGCTCTCCCAACAGCCTCTTCCCCTCCTTTTAAGGCTGAGAGAATGTGTCTCATGCAAAGAAACACCATTTAAAAACAGTAACTTACCAGTAACTCCTTAAGACCTAATCTGAACTTCCCACAGCACCAGGCTAAGGCAGGAAACAACTCAGGGAAGATCAGGTGCTACAGTTACTAGCAAGGCCAGTAATAGAACACAGGTCTGCTGACCTGCTCCAAAGCCCAGTCAGTTACATTTCTTTTAGATGCTAATGCCCTTCTGATGTTTCAAGTCTTCTAAGAACAGCAAAGAAACAAGTTAATAATCCAGTAGAAGAAAATGCGGGGAAGTTTCTGGATTACAAGAATTTTCTATAAAAAGGTTCCTGACACAAAATTTTTATCAAGGAAATTCTGGAACAGTGGCACCTTCAAAATTCCTAATCTTCTGCAGCAGAAATGAAAGATGACCTTTGCCCTCCCCTCTCAGTGGGCTGTAATGATTAGCCCAGCTAGGATGACAGCTAAGGAAAATATAAGACAAGCCTCGTCCAGCTGATTAGAACACTGAACAGATTGACTCCATGACCAAACCCATCCCGTGCACTCAGAAGAAAGTGGGACCCAGGGATGCTTGCAGAGGTCCTCCAAGGCTGCAGACCACTCTGTCTGCTGTCCTCTAGCGGTGGTGTCCACATGAAATGACTGGAAACCAGGAGGGAACAGGGTTAAAGAAGGCACAGCCACAGCAGAGGAGGAAAAAAAACGTCTTCACCTCACCTGACTGGCCCACCAGAGCAGCCTGAGGGGGAAGAGGCATCAGTTCACTGAATCAGCCAATGTGATAAGGGCAACCAAGAAAAGAACAGATAAGATTAGGAGAACCTGACTTTCTAATTAGGAAAACTAGTGAGCAACACAGCACGAGGTTAAAGGTCAGTCAGGTCTGTTTCAGTTAAGGAGATAAAAACTGAATAAAATTGTCATGGGTCTCCAATTCTGCCTAGCAAGCACAAGACCCAGCACCCCAACTCCTACCCCTAAGTAAAGTTTTGATTTAATCCTCAATTGCGCTACTGGTTTTTTTCCCCCCAAGCATCAAAATAAAATGTTTGTGAAGATTTCTTTGATCAGATCTTTAGCATTACAACTTTCGGCAGATAAAGGGACAGATAAAAGGTAAGAACAGGAAGGCTGAAGGCTCAACCCCAGCACCTGTAACCAAAGACTTAAGCTGACAGAGTAAGAGTGGGCTATCTTCAGGGCACATCTACTCCCTGACTTTTTCCAATCAGCCCAAAACAAAACTGCTACATTTGAGCCAAGCTACTTTAATTTTTTAATGTAATAAATTTAGGAAAAAAATGAAATTCCCAGAAAACTCAAGGAGAATTTCTACATCATCTCCATTAATAAAATCTCTTCCGAACCTGTGAGAAATGCAGATCTTTCCACAAGGTATTTTAACATCTATCCACAATTAGGGTTTTCTTTTTTTTTCTTTTTTTTTTTAAATATTTATTTATTTATTAAGTATACAATGTTCTTTCTGTGTGTATGCCCGCAGGCCAGAAGAGGGCACCAGATCCCCTTACAGATGGTTGTGAGTCACCATGTGGTTGCTGGGAATTGAACTCAGGACCTTGGGAAGAGCAGGCAATGCTCTTAACCTCTGAGCCATCTCTCCAGCCCCCCACAATTTGGGTTTTCAAAGGCATTCTGGCAGCCCATCTCAGCACATTCAGATGCACGGTAGTGACTCAGTTTTTATTTAGTTGTCACTGACTGGAGCCATCAGTTTACTAGGATGTACTTGGAATCTCAGACTCTTTCTCCCTATTACCAGTTACCAGAATCCTAAACGTACTATATTAAGTGTCAAAAAAAGCTCCATTATTTTTTAAAGAGGAAATCAATAAGCACCAACAGAAAACAAAATATCAAACTAACAAAACCCTACCTTCCACGTTTCTAAAGGACATTGTTCATTCACCCCTCTTCCTAAAAGCTGAGTGTGGCCAGATTAATATCAATCACAACTCTTCCCCCTCCCAGGTTGGAGGTACTTCCGGTACTGGCTCAAGCCTGAAGGCATCAATTGGGTGAGGTTGGTGGTCCACTCCCACCTTCCAGGAGGCAGGAATTACAGGTACTGAGCCTGGACTCTTCTTCAGTACACCCTTCCAGGCAGGGCAAGTTCATCAGGACCATCTGACCCTCAGCTTTTGAAACAGCAAAGACATTTTTTAAAGCTCCCATTAAGCAGCTAATAAAAACCGTTTTTCACTAATAAAGTGTAAGCATTTAAAGCTGGGATAGCAAAGACTTAAAAGTATTTTCCTGAAGCACAGCAACATTAAATAAGGGGGAAGCACGACCCCCAGTAAAATTCCATAAACCTTTCAATTTTATCCTTTGACTTGGTCAAATGACTTTTGATAATTACCAAATCCAAACTAGCGATAAAATGCCATTTCCTATTCCAGCCACTGGATTTAAAATTAGATGTTAACTCTCCAGCGGTCCCTTCCCCCAGCTAACTCTGTTCTCCCAGTTACAATGCGTTCTTCAGGAGAATAAGCACAATATGTCACTCTGCTATCTGAAAACTACCAGCTGAAGGAGTCAAGAAAGCAGAGCACACCGAATCTGAGGCCAGCCTGAGTCAGGCACAGCACGGGGTTAAAGGAACCATTTCCTAAGCTCAGGGGCGGAGAAGCTGCACGAGAAGAGCAAAGAGGAAAAAGCCAAGTTACATAAAGTCCGATTGTACTCACGGTTTCCTTATTGGGAAGCAGTTCCTTTCTGATTCTGAAGAAGTTCTTGCCGTATTGCCGGAGCCCCTTAACGAAGCGTTTCTGCGATAAAAAAGAAACAAGTGAAACGTAAAAACCAAAACCAAAACAGGATGTCAGCAAAGCAAAGATCTGCAATCAGCAGAATAGCAACCGCAGAAAAGTCTGAGCTCGGGAATATCAGCTAGGCTGGAGGCTTTCGGCAGCACAGCTGGGACGTGCTGGCAGGGTAGGGCAGCCCCCCGGCCTGCGGGGAACCACAAGCAGCGTCGGGCATTTATGGCAAGCAGAGCTAAGGCGGCCTCCTGACACCACGGGCTGCACGAAGGTGCAAACAACAAACAGCCCGCGTTGCAATAAACCAGCATAGCTGCTTTCCATCCGCGGAAGCAGCTGCCTTCGCAGAAGTGTCTGGTGCCGCTCCGGCCCTCGTCCCCTTCCATGACCACGAAAGCTCACCCGAAGCCCGCAGCCCCAGAGCCGGGAACCGCTGGGGTCGAGCCCCCGGACTTTCACTTCGGCCGGGTCCACGAGCCGCCCCCACCTCCGATCCGAGAGCAACCCGCAGCTACAGGTAAGGAGGCCGCGCCCGTCCCCGGGTTCCACAAAGCGCAGGGCCAAGCGGCCTCGGGCTGCTCAGCGTGTGACCGCGGCGGGGCCGCGCGGAGCGAGGACCCGGCCGAAGGGAAAGTCCGGGGGCTCGACCCCAG